TTTCTCTGGATACCCCTGCTTAAAAAGGTGGCTTTGACTACGTGACTTCCAGAGATCCCTTCCAGATTTCAATATCCTGTGTCTCTAGTCTCCTTCTAACATTTAAACAACACTCAGATTGAGACTCTTACGTGTTTTACACTGGAGTTGTACTAGGAATTTCACATCGTGGCTCAAAGCATGACAGAAGCCCAGGAAAATCTTACCAGTACTACTGCTCATACTGGATAATGACTTTATAGCCGTAGTAAGCTTGTTTGCTATTTAGAGAACGTAGAATGCCATGGAAGCAAAAGTTCCAAAGCAGGTATCATTTTGAGACCACTCTTGTGTACAGTCTGTTAGTGGCCTGATAGGTGAAGAGCACCGGGCCAAAGCAACCACTAGCAGACAGACACAACATAACAGAAGTACAGTAGAATCATTAGACCTGATACTACACTGGCATAAAAAACTGCAGTGGCACTATAAAACAACAGCAGAAGCCAATAGCACACTGCACAGTACTTACAGCCACAGGGAAAGTGAGAACACTTGTCCACATAGCGGGAACAAAGATACGAACAGTTCATGCAGGAGTGCTGCGAGTGTGGAGATAATACGAAACACAGTTGCTTCAAATCTCTTGTTTAGGGGAATTTGTTTTCCTGGGAAGTGCACTTGAACTTGTTCAAAAAGAACAAGCTGGAGCAGAAATTCAAACACTGTCAAAACAGATCACCACCTCTGAAACTTCAGAATCATTAGAACAGAAGAAACAGAATTAGATACACTGATGTATCCTAATTCAGGAAAAAAAAAATGTTTGAAGTGACAATGAAGGAAAGAGAAATGAGTATCTCACAATCAGAAAAAAAATCTGTTTTCATCAGCTTTCAGTTTTCCTAAGGAAGCAACAATAGCAAGGCTATTTGCTGTCAGATGTGAGCTGCATCAACGGATCAGTAGAACTTCTATCCTTCCCCCTAAATAAAGGTGCACTTATTTGTTATGAATTAGCTGCTTATATTATTAAAATATTTAATTTCTACAATGAAAGGTTATTCACAGTCTTTCACATTTTCACGATACAACATAAGGCCTCAGCAAGAAAATTTCAGCTTCCCTGCCTGGAGTTACCTGGCACTCTTCATTAAGAAGTCTCAAGTTACAGCACTGCACTCTGTGCATAAGATACTGTGACAAAAAGCACCAGTTTGTGCCGTAGTGTCTTTATGCAGCCCAGCTATCAGCAGGTCTGCTCTGTGTGTCCACATTGAAGTTATGTGGACTCAACACACCCGCCAACTCTTCACCTGTAAGGTTCCAGTAAAATTGATCAGTGAGGTCAATGACTGTTTTGGAGAACTGCATAAATCCTACTTCTTAAGGCTGCCTACAGTCTGAAGCAAGATTTATAGCCCCACAGCAAAGCCTCTCAATCAAATGGAATGAATTTAACATTGCAAAGTTTTACTCACAGGGCACTGAAACAGAATTTTGAGCCATTCTGATCCACATTTCATAAATTATTTTTCAATATCAATGACTGTGGAACTTGGTTGTTCGGTTTCCATGAACGTAAGAACTTGAAATAAGGCTATTCTTTTTGCTACTTATGTAAAAAAAGACCATACCTAAGGACAAAACTTACCCGTAACCACGCCAGTAAAGAGTACTTGTTAGCATGTATTACACACAAGACCTATGGAATCAAGATCCACAGATGACTTGTTACAGCACCTAGTTTTAAACTCTGAGTCATGTAAGAGCTAAGCACTTGGGAGTAAGGCACATCCATAAGGAGAAGCCTTGGCATCTCAGGAATGCTTTCTGCTCAGCACAACGTGCACAAAGCTTACCATCTCAACAGCCATTTCATACTGCATACCTATTTAGGATTTATGTAAATACATTCCATTCAATTAAAACACAAAAAAGTTTTTTTGTTTGTTTGTTTTCATACTTTCAAATACATTAGAAATCAAGTAACAGAATTCTTGGTAATTTCAGTAACATTTTATCAATGTTTCTCTCTTCAAGACTTCAAGTGCTTGAGCATTTTAACCTGGGACATAAAGTAATATTCCACAAGTCACTAATTAACATAATACCCTGGCAAGAAACAAGCTTTTAATTCTTAAACCCATGCAAACATTCACGTTGGCAATAAGGGTTTGACAAACAAAGAAAACACTATTCAATAACAGAGCCCTTGGAGCAGAGGTCTCTAACTGTCACTGACCCTCAAGCAAACAGTGCACTTCAGACAGCCGAGTTATTTCTATCTTGCTGTTGGGGATACAAACAATCTGTTGACTATTAGTCTCAAGCTGGGCAATCAGTATCTTGGAAGGATTATTGCTGACTCAGTTTAGCATTTCCATAAAGCAAGCAGATGAGGCTCCCTTCACATACGAAGGATTTCAAGGTGCTCAAGTAACACCATACTGCAGAAATGCAATCATCAAATTTATATCAATACGGTATATGACTCAAGACATCAAAACAAAGTTGTTCATTCAAAGGGCAAGCAACAGATGATATGTTCTACTTTCTTGTTTCAGTTCTTAACAATGTTTGACAAATCATAATCCACGAACCTCCCTCACCTTTCATCAATTTTTACAAAAAAGAATTGATAAGGGGTAGAATAACTTACAAGACTCCCTTCTCCTTGACATGAAGCTAGCTAAAGAGCTTGGAGACTATTTGACGGTACCACTCATCTTGCTTTGCTATACAGGTAGAACTCTTGAAAAGAGTGAAGAAAAGCCTCTATGTTACGCCAAATAAATTATATCAACAATTGTATCCACCACTTCCCTCTCCTTTAGAGCTTCCAGACAACACTAATTTTGACAAGACTCTTCAAAGCTTTAAGAATATTTTGCTGAGTTAGACTAACTGAACATTTCTGTTTCTAAAGTTAATTAGAGCTAATCTAAAAGTTAACACTACAGAATTTGCAAGCATTGACATAACATTTCTAGGCATGTGTTCTAACTCCATTACCCTGACTACTCGCTTTCCCACCACTTTGTTTGGGCTCTCAGCCACAGGCTGTTCCATAGGCACAGCTCTTACTGGAGAGCTCCTCATTATTAAATCATAGTCCAAGTCCCTCCTCCATAGCACCCACTAATCACATAATACAGGGCTCCTTTCTATCAACTGAATTTTGCAAAACAATTATACAAAGAAATTATACTCTAAAAAGTCACCACCTTTTGACTGGAATAAAAGAGCATGAAGTGATAACAAAAAGGAATCAATGAGAAGTGTAAGTAATTATATTCTGGTTTTACACTTAACAGATCCCAACAAAAGAGCCACCTAAAATGAATTGGAAGAAGCTCCTCAAACACAACATGCCTGCCCAGCAGAGGTCCCAGTCTACAGCAACGCTTCATCTCACGGAGCACTCAATGCATTTCCGTGCAGCCCTTGCATGTGCTGATCAGGTGCGACTGCGTTCCCTGAACGCGCCCAGCAGCAGGTTCCTATCGGCTCAAAGTCCTCCGCTTATCGAGCAGCCTTTTGGGATTCCAGTTTAGATTTAAATCTGAAGTGTCATCAAGTGAGATGGAAGCAGAGGAGTGGCTACTTCATATTAACTTGGGAGAGATCAGTTCACCAGATTTCAGTTTAGTAGAACATCACTCAGGAAGCTCTTCCTATGTATTCTAATTAAGCCACGATCTTTCCATAGGTTTTGCTAACATATATACATATGTGTGTATATATATATATATATATATATATATATACGGAAATAGGCTTCCTTTCCTAAGGAATACCACATTCCACCTGAAGGATTAAGAAGAGCACAAGTACATACAGGTGCCTTAACGCCCACAGGTGCCATAACAGGTGCTTAGCACCGCTCCAAACCACACACGGAGCAGCCACCAGGTTACCACAGATCAGCAGCAGCGGGAAGGAAGAGGACAAGGCTGATCCCCGGCAGCGTACCTGCCCGCGGGCATCGGCCGTGCTCCAAGCACACGGGGCCGCACGGGGCGCTGCCCGGTGCCTCTCGGTTACACCGAGACGCGCTCCTGGGCTCAGCTGTCACCGCACATCAGTGACGCGGACAACGCTATCTCGAGATCAGTGATTTCTGTTTCCTTAAGCAGGAGAGCTCCGTCGAATCGATACAACCGCGCAGCCCCAAGCATCCAAGTGCTTACGCACCAAAATAAATAAATAAATAAATAAATAAATAAATAAATAAAGACAACAAAAGCCCCACAGCTCAGCACGACCCCAGCGGAGATGGCGGTACCGGATGCCGCGCGGTGAGCGCTGCCGGGCGCGGCACGCAGGTACCGGGAGCCGAGCGGCCGCCCCCGCCCCGCCGGGCCCCGAGCCCGGCCGCACCGCGCGGGAACGGCGCCGAGAGGCCGCCGGAGCCCCGCTCTCCCCCACTCGCCCCCCCGTGCGGCCGTCACGTGAGAGGGGGACCTCACGGCACCGGGGCAGCCCCGGAGTGAAGATGGGGGGTGGGGGGGTTGGGGAAGCGAGGGGAGAAGTGCCGTCGCCATGACAACTTCCAGGGGGGAGGGAAAACTTCAAATCCCAACCGTCAGTGCAGAGCGGCTCCCTCTTAAAGGCACACCGCCACGCGCGGGCTGCTCCCTGCCCCCCGCCCCCCGGGCGCCGCGGCGATGGAGGAGAAGAGGAGGGGGGCGGCCGGCGGCACAGCCGCGCAAACGGCGCGGAGCCGAGACAAAAGGAGCCGAGCAGGGAGCGGGCCGGGCCGGCGGCCGAGGGAAGCACCGAGCGGCCCCATCGAACCGCGGCGCCCACCCCGCGCTGCTCGGGGGCGGCTCTGCGCCTCGGCGCCCCACGGAGCCGCTCCTCCACCCTGTTCGCTCTCCGCTCCCACAAGGGCTCCGGCTCGGGCTCCCCCGCCGTCCGCTCCCCTCTCCCACACGGAGCCCCTCGTCTCTCGCCCGCCCCCGCCCCTCGTCCCCGCACCACGGCCGGGCGAACCCTCCCGCCGCCCCTTCGCTTACCCACACAGTGCATGAGCCGGTGCCGCCAGGAGTCGAGTTCGCGGCGGACTCCTCTACGCTCCGCCGTGCAGCGGGGGCTCCGGCACTGGGAGGCGGCGGCAGGAGGAGCGGGAGCCGCGGCGGCCATTCTGTCTGTTCCCTTTTCCATCTGCCTCTGACCTCACGCCCGCTCATTTACATACGAGCGCGCGCCACCCAGAAGAGCCGCGCGCTCCCCCGACTCCCCCCTCCTGCCTCAGCGAGCGCGTGCCCGCGCCCCCCCCTTCAGCATCCGGGGCGGGGAGCGCGCGCACCGCCTGGCGGAGTGATTGACACGTGTCCCCGAGACGCCACGCCCTCCTGCACCTTCCCGCCTTCCGGGCTCGACCCCTCCCCGCCCCAGCGGAGCGTGGTTCGGTAACCGGGCCGCCAGTAACCCCGCGACAAATTCACCCCCACCTCCTGCGTTTCCCTTCGGAGCCCCTCCGCCTACAAATCCCGTGAGGCAGCGCGCCACCTGCCGCGGCCCGGCCGGGCCGCAATGCATGCCGGGAGTTGTAGTCCGCTGAGGAAGACGGCAAGGGGGGCGGCAAAATGATGACCACCCCGAGGCACTTCGGAGGGGACGCACCCACAACGCTACGCCTTCCCATGAAGTCTCTTAGAGCCGCTCACAGAGTGGACTTCAAAGTTTTCTCAACTGACGAGCTGCTGTTGGTCGCGGCTCTGCCCCTGTCAGCGCTGCCCCGCCCCGGGCACAGCTCGCCCGTAGCCCAACGCTGCATTGCAGCGAGCCGAGTACAGGTAACGGCTGAAAAGTTGGCACAGACGGAACAGCACAGAGCTCTGAACGCGGAAAATGGAGCTCGTGCTGTTTCCTCAGGTGTTCCCTGCGTGCCTCCCCTAAACTCTCCCGTTCAGAGCACTCCCTGCGCACATTGCCGCTTTTGAGAGTAATGCCGTTTGTTACAGTGCCTGCCTAGTTACGGGACTGACGAAGACTCCCGTTGCCTCCGCTGGCTTTTCCCTCATCAGCCAGCAATTAGCAGGCAGCAGCCTCCTTGCTCCCTCCTCTACCTCAGATGTGTGAGCGCCCTGTGTCTTGTTTGCACTGGACTTCAAAACAGTAACAAATACAGCCCACCCTGCCACGGGGAAACAGCAGAGCCCAAGGTAACTCCTGAAAGGCATAATCAGAGCCCACACGAACTAAAATGCATCTGTATCTGAGTAGAATGCATCGATCTCAAACTAACAATATCCTCTGTAGGAGAGATTATGGATTCATTCATTTATTTGGGTACAAGATGAGCTTTAAATATCTGTTGTGCTTTTGCTTCTTGTGCAGAGCTTTGTGGATATTTCCTTCAGAAATCCTTGGAGGTGTTTTGGGGGGTGAAAGACATGCTGAGAGATTGCCTGCACAACGCAGCCAGGAGGAGTGGCTGTGCTTTCACAGGAATGAGCAAAGCCTTTGTAACAGATGACAAGTTACATTTTTTTTTCTATAAAGTTTTTTAGTAGAACCATCTCAAGTTAGAAGGATCCATAAGAATCATCAGATCCAATGCCTGACTACACACAGGACCACCCAAAAAACAAATTATATGAATGACCAGTTTTCATACTGGTAAACTTCATCACTTGTGTAGAACAGCTAATTGAGCTTATTGAATCCAGCAATTAAAAAAAGTGTTCATTTAATGGAATCACTCAGGTGATCATGGTTTTGATCATGGTTTCACATGGACACACACATCCTGCATCTGAAGATTCTTTTTTGAGATGCTCATGATTAAATAAGGAGCAGAGAAGACATCTCTTGTTTTGTTCATCTAACACATTTTTTGTTGTAACAGCAAGATTCTCCTCTTTGAGAGACTTTTTCAGGCATTAAAGAAAAAAAAAAAAGAAGTAAACATGATCAGAAAGTTGGTGGGCAGGTTTCAGGGAGAAGGAAGAAAGAGGAAAGAATTCTAAACAGGCTTTTTTTTAGCTGCCTGGATTTTCTATTGCATGGCCTTCTGGAAATACTGCCTCCATGCAGACATGCCAGAGACTGGGTTTTGAACAACTCCCTCCCTTTGAGATATTTTATTCTTCCTAATCTAAAACTAACCAGACAACCGAGAGGTCCTGCTTAGTCAAACAATCAGGGGTGTTATTTTTAAATTAATTGCTTTTACTTCTCTGCTAAAATGACTTCCCAGCCAAGAGATTACTGCTTGTATGGACTTGATCCTGCTTTTCTAAACAAGGAAACTGCAAGACTGACTGATGTCAGAAGCAGCAAGGGATAATTTTGATTTAGTTCAGTTTAGCTGATTGCCCTACCTAATTTATAAGGGATCAGCGAGTCAGCTAACTTAGTTTAAAGCTACAGGAATTATCACTATACATGTTTCATCTGCCATATACTAATGTAGTAAAAGTAGCTTATGATTTGGCACGAGATCCCTATCGCAATCTGACAGTCTAAATTAATTTTCTTGAACATATATTGGAGAGATTTAACTATCTTATTGATATGTTGCAAAACTGTTGATAACCAAAACCTCTTTATAATTAATCCCTAAAGGTGAAATTCCCTCCTGTACAGACAGCTTTGCAAAGTACTGCTTTGTGGAAACTGGGGTAAGGATGAAGCATAATTGAAACAGTCTAATGTGAACAGTCAAAGCCTTTTCAGACACTGTCAGATACATCCTGAAGTGGTGAGCACAATTTGGAAACTGAAAGTGTTTCTGGTAAACCAAAAGGGTTAAATAAAGAATTGTATGATAGCTTTATGACCAAGTATTGCAGAGAACTATTAATGCTTGAAAAATATACCATAGGGAAAAAAAAAAAAAGAGAGAGAGAAATATAAAGGAAAAAAAAAAAAAGGGGTTTAAGAAAGAAATACTGGGGGAAACTTTTCAATAAATACTATCACTTAAATAATCTAGCCAAACTGGACAACAGTTCTTTCATAACCACTGTGGAATTAGGTTGCCAGTATGTGACTACTTAAACAGTAGCAGTATAAATTTCCCAGCAATTTAGTACATAATAAAGATGTGAAAGATCACAATCTTATGTGCTAAAATACAGTGAATTTCACAGGTTTAGACTGATATATAAGATCACAATCTTAGATACTAAAATACTAGGAACTTCACAGATTTACACTGTACTCTAAAATGCTGTGGCCACATAGTCAACAAATGTATAATTCTGCTTCTTCTCCTTAGGAATGGCAACTTCCAAAAGCATGGGTAGGTAGGGAACAATAAATATTTTTCCACTGTAGCTGGATATGTATGGTAATTGACCTATTATTTCACATACTGCTAGCAGATATCCTACTATTCCAGGTTTGATATACAGCCTATTTATTTTTCTCGAGTGAAGGAGGGAAATAGCTTCCAGAAGAAAGCAGACCAAAAGCTGGCAGTACAGTGTAGCAGGAATGCTGCAAAAAACCTGCTCGAGATGGCAACCAGCGCAGGTGAAAAGATTTTGCCTGGTCTAATGGTGCAGAATTCATAACAACCTTGATCAAAAACAGCTTTAAGAATCAATTTATTTTTATAAAGGTTGAAATCCTGTATGATTAGTTGTGGACATCTGGGTAGGGGCTCTCTGTGCCTTGAAGATTAAATCTTAAAACAAAAAATATTATTCTTGCACAATTCCTTGGTATTCAGTGGCTGCATTTTTTTCAGAAGCATGTAAAATGAAAAGTACTGCTACCTCTTAATTACAGGGTCTGTCTTTGGGAATCTCATCAGTATTGGTTAATATCGCTGTCTTCCAGCATATGTGCACAGCTGTGTCTTTGCACAGGTTAATAGAAAGACAGCCAAGGTGAATTTCAAAATGTACAATAACATTTTTAGCCAAAAACATATTCTTGAATCTCTGGCTAGGGAAAACGACAAAGAAATTCATAAAGTAAAGCTTACCTTAAGTAGAAAGGCAGCAGTAGACCAACCAAGTCACTGCTGTACTTGAGCCCATGTTATTGATCTAATTCTAAGCACATGAAACATAATTATTCCAGACAGATGAGTATTTTCCACATACGAGTGTTTTTCACAAACATCTTGATCCCTCATAATGGAAGATAAAAAATTCTTCTGATTGTACATTCTTGCCATAGCGCTTCTGAAACTGTGAGGACCTGAATGAGAGGGTGTTCTCTTATCAGACCATTAAACCTGGCAAAAAGCAGCCAGGCTCATGAGAATATCAACAAATTATCAATACTAGCTGATCCAGTGGAAATGTGACCCCATGTACCAAATTAACACTGTTCAGAGCAAAAAAGATTTAGAATAAAGACCAACATTAAGTATTTCTGATAGATGTGTCCAGTTTTACATGATTGTTTAAGACACAAACAGGGCTTTCAGTTTATACCACATTAGAATACAGAGTGAAATTTTCAAAGGTTGTTTTTAGGTCTTGGTTTATCACTACTGTTTAGAGGCTAAGGATAATACTCTACTAAGGTACTATACAGAAAATTCATCTAATTTAATACAAAATGTTCACTTACAGTGCTAAAGAAAAGGGTTTCTTCCAAATCAACTCACACAAGCAATCACAGAATCCTAGGTGTTGGAAGGAACCTCTGGGGATCATCAAGTCCAACTTGATGAACCTGCTAAAACAGGTTCCCTACAAAAGGTTGCACAGGAAAATATTCAGATCAGAATGGTATTCTAAATTTTACTTTACAGAGTCGCTTCTCAAAGCAGAGCATAATTTCAGTGGACATTAAGGTAGAGGAAATAGAGCTTTAAACAATACATTCTTGCAAGTTGATATTAACTGCTAATATGCAAACTAGAAGAAAGATTCTGGGTTTTTATCTTATAAAAACCAATTAGAGTACTTTGCAACTAGCAGTGCAACAACTTATGTTCAGTACTGATTTAAAACATTTATTATTTTTAACTGTTCTTCTGAGGATGATAAATCCTGTGTTTCAGCACTAGCCTGTCAGAAGAGGGTACAAAACTGGAGGGAGCCAAGCTGGAAAAAAAAAAAAAAAAAAAAAAAAAGAGAGAAAGACAGAGAGAAAAAATGAGTCTTCTATAGATTAAGCTGCTGTTTTAACATGTCATTATTTGACTATTAAAATTAAATTTACAGAGAAGGTAAAATCCTATATATACTCCTAAGTA